AACTATTAGCAAATGGAAATATTGGGGGTACAGTGTCTCCGTACGTTCATGAGATGGGTGTGTCAGGCACCGCACTCGTGGTAGGTAAATGTTCATGATTACTGTCTTGTGGATCATTGTCTATCACTGTATTATTGTCACTATCAACTTCATCCAATTCAGGAATCATTATTTCATCGCCACTATCATCATCAGAACAAATCTCGTTTACAACATTTTCCAGCTGGTCTGTAGGAACACGAAGACACTTGCTGCAAGAAGCCATGGTGAAACTGAATGAATGTGAAATATTTTCTGACCTTTTCCTTCTCAGAGGGTTCTGACAGTAATATAGACCCCCACAAAGTTTACAAGGGTTCTTTACAAACATGCGCAAAAACTATCATATATATGTCTTTGGTTGATGAGTGCCAAGAGAGCAAAGAAGGGAAGAGATTGTCAAAGCGTTAAAACACGCCAACGCCAGGGAACGGCTGGCATCGTCCGGGCGTTAAAACACGCCCGCGCCAGTCAAAGAGTTAATGTCCTGTTGCACTGATTTTCTTCCATGATATATATACAGTTGCCGTCTTGTGCACTCAATTTCACCTGTTACTTCACCACACGTTTCGGCAACATAGTGCCATCATCAGGTGCCCAAATTACGGCAAGCTATCTGATTGCTTGCCTTTATAAAATTATTTAAAAAGTATTTAAAAAGTGCATATTTGTCAACTATAATAAATTTACACATACTAAAACTTGTTAAGATTATTCATCTTATGTGTCATAATTAAAACTTGCATGTGGTTCTTCCACTGTGGGGGTCGTTTTTCTTATATTCTGTGTAAACCGTCTCTTGTGGTGAGTGTTCCCTTCTTAGCTCGCAGCTAAGAAGGGGTGGGTGACATGGTATCACATGTTCAGTTGTAGTGGCGCCAGACTGCATGGCAACACTACTTCCCGCAGTTCTTATATTGTTGCGCAGCATCGCTGCTGTTGTGGAGACTGTTTTTTTTTCCAAGCCGTTTCCTAGCAACGGCCGTCTCCCTGTCTCTACAGTTTCGCCGTTCAGGCATCATGTCACAGTATAATAAACAATTTGTGTATAGTTTTAATTTATAATGTGTAGTAACACTAAATGTGGAAGCCTTAAAGCTGGTTGCTTATTCATTCAGTATATACACTCAACTCTTGATTATCCGGGATAATGGTGGGGATGGAACTCACGATTAATCGAAAACCCGGTTAAGACAACTTTTATTAAAAGTAGTACTGTAATACTGTACCTTCATAATACTATAGGCCTACCTGTATTTAAATTTATTCAACCTCGTTTTTATGTCATCTCATGGCCTATGTAATGCTTTTTTTACATTACACAGAAGTATGAATTAGTTATTTCAATCACAGTCTTCAACAACATCCAATACTTTTTATGGATATTCACACTTAACACTTAAAAAAATTTAATATTGTTGTTTGCTTTTTCGCGGCATATTCATTTTTACGGATATGCGTACGAAGCCTACGTAATATTAGCTTGTCACTTAATAAACTCTTCTCTTCACTCTCAAGATAGTCTAGTAAGGATTCCAAATGATTAAGAGCAGCACCATGTGATATTTTCTTACTAGCAGCAGCGTCCACATCTTCCTCATTCTCACTTTCTTCCTGCTCTTCTGGCTGCACCCCCACTGCTTAACATTTCGAAGCCCGGTTCACACGAGTTTCTGTTCAATACTTATCACAACACGCTTAAGCGCCCTCCATAGTCTAGGGGTAACGTTCCCACCTCATGACTCAAGGTACGCGGGTTCAAACTCGGCGGAGGTCGTGGAATTTTTAAGGGCGGAAAAATTCAGGGAACAAGTCCTCTGGGAGGGACTTTAAGCTGTGGGTCCCGTGTTGTAGATTTACGGCACGTAAAAGAACCTCATGTCTCTAGGAGGCCTCTGAGCAAAATTTGGCCAAAAATTTCCTGCCCAAAGTAGTTTCCAATGCCTCCGGTAGATGGGGGAAGTATTCGTATCACTGCCAGAGTAGGGGGGACCTCTCTGACAGAAAGGGACTAACTATTAGATACCACTGCCAGTAGAAGGTTGGAACCTCGCTGGCAGAAAGGGACTGATAGTAAGCACCAGTACCGGAAGGGGATGGAGCCTGTAGAAATTAAAAGGGGGATGTACAATAGACTATCAGTCGCGGTGCATGGGGAAACCCACCCCCTCCATACTGAATAACTGAATATCACAACACGCTTCCTTTTACACCCTGACATTTTGCTAATACACTTGAAGATCGATACAAAGAGACTAAGTCGGGTGGTCTATCTGTCCTTGAAACTTTCCACAAATCCTTGCATTCTTTCACCCTTACTCTACAACATTGTGTTAGCATAAGGGGGCCAAAAAATGCAGAGCTCGGTTCACACTAGTGCGAAAAGAGTGTTACAACTCACCATGTGAAACAAAAGTGAATGAATAGTAAACAACATATAAGCCTCAAAAAGCCTCGGTTAAGCCGCAAACCGGTTTATCGGCCCCCGGATAATCGAGAGTTGAGTGTAGTTCTGATGTCTGGCTGGTTTTAGGAAGTATTATTTAACATTGAATAGCTGCATGTGAATTTGGTGTTTGCTTATTGTAAGGGAACATTTTATTTTAGTCTTTATTATATCCTCTATAATTGCTTCTGCATAACATGCCTGCTAAGGGTATATTTGTATAATTCAATGTCTTATCATCAGGAATAGATCCTGTTGTCTTCCATGGACAAACTGTAGAAAAAGTTGTCAAGTTGGAGTATAACACATCAGAAATTACCTTTGTAACACACTAGTCCATTAATGGAAACTTACTTTTTAGGTCTGGTCTGCTGAATGTCGATGAGCGTCGACAGAGATGGGCAGTAGTTCGGTCATGTGAACTGGGAAAGTTTGCTATGAAAGATGATTAATGGGTTAAAGTTCGTGCTGCTATTCTTCCATACTTCACAGGTAATTTGGTAACTTGAAATACAGAAAATCCTTCCGTATAACTTGATAACAACTGTGCAGGTTAGTGTAACTGTAATACTCTGGACCTGTATGTGTAATGTGAGATTTGAGGCTTTCACGGCGGTGACTACCCTGAAGATGGGGGCGATACGTTCCTCCGAAACGTCGGTTAACACCACATATACACGGCGCCAAATCCCAGAAGACTGCTTTCTTCTGTATGTGTAATGTCTGGTAGAACCTTGGCTGGGTTATTGGCTCTCATTAATGAAGTATTTCATGGTTTTCATCAGTTCCTCAAAGTAGGTGCTGCAGTAATAACTTGAAGTGGTCCATGGTCAGTCTCTACCTCCTTGCCTATATGTACGTAGGTCGTACCAAAAGTCATGAGCAACTTTTTTTTGCATGCAACCTGGGAACAGCAGATGATAGAGAGTATGGTGGTAGGTGGAACCAGCTGTTGTGTTAACCTTGAGTGTCTTGTGGTGTCAATAGCTTGCATCACATGACCAGTATCACTCCTAACAAAATGGCCAACAATGATATGTCATTTCGCCAGCGTGCTGTCATCAAATTTCTTGTGAAAGAGGAAACCCTGCTGCAGAAATTCACCAGAGACTTCAGTGTGCTTATGGAAGTGTGTGTATGGGTGCGAGCAGTGTTCGAAGATGGGTGAAACATTTTAAAGATGGGAACACCAGCATCGAAGATGAGCCTCGGAGCGGTCGTCCTCAAACAGCCTCAGCTGAACAGAACAAGGAAAGAGTGGATGAGATCATTCAAGATGAGAGGCATGTGACTGTGGACCAAATAGCCCCAAAACTTGGAATAGGGCACGGTGCAGTACAGGAGATGATTGAAAACTTGGGCTATAGGAAAGTTTGTGCTCGTTGGGTCCTGCGGTTATTGACCAAAGACCACAAAGGTCAGTGAAAAGCCATCACCTGAGAACTGCTGCAGAGATATCGACACAAAGGCGATGATTTTCTGCTCTGTATTGTGACAGGTTTCACCATTGAGCTGTCCCCTTGTAAGGACAGGCTCATAAAAACGACTTGCTTGCCGCCGTGGTGCAGTATGCCTCCCTAAGGTCAAGTAAGGGGTCTCAAGGGAGAAAACCCAAAAATGGACGGCAAGTCGGGCTGGGCGGATTTACTGGGCAGGAGCTCTACCATGGAACGTATGGTGACACAGTACACATAGAACTATATTGGTAACTTGGGTGTAGATTATCAGGAACAGGCCTGAAGGGATATTACAGTTATTACAATTAATGGTTAAACAGATATTACAACACACCTACTGGCATACAAATCAAACTAGTACCACACCTATGGTGTATCAAACTATACCACACCTCATTGCATACCAAACATCTCAAGTGAGTCACTCATTTTCTTAAGGAAACTCAAATATATTTTTACCTCCACAGAGTAGTCGTACCCGACTAGCTCGTGAGGGCTGCTTCTCCCCATCTTCTTCTGCTACATGCTGTAACATAATTTGTCAAACTGAACTTATACTGTTCCAAAAACATAATTTAGTAACCAGCGATGTTGCTGGCTTGAAGTTCAGAGGGAGAAGAGAGCACTTCCATATTCTGGGCTTACCATGAGCCCTCAGATGGACGTAAAGAAGGGGAAAAGGAACACGTGACGTGACTTCACCCAAGGACATCAGTCGGAAAGAAAGGATCAGCCACACGTAGTGGTGTTTGGAGAAGAAGAAAGAGAGCCCCCCTCCAAAGATCTTACTAGAGAAGAACCATTGCACGGTTCACCATTTCGAACCTGAAATGAAACGGCAGAGTATGGAATGTCACCATTTGCATTCTCGATCAAAAAAGAAGGCAAAGACAGTGCCATCAGCTGCGAAGGTGATGGGCACGGTCTTCTGGGATGCAGAGGGGTTTATTCTGGCTGATTTCCTGGAACCTGGGCAAACCATTAATGCTGCTCGTTATGTCCAGACGCTGCACAAGCTCTGTCGTGCATTGCGCGATAAACGTCCGGGACGTAACATCATCATCCTGCATGACAACGCTCGCCCCCACGCCTCTGGCCTCACATTGGAAGCAATTGCAAAGATGGGGTGGGAAGTTCTTCCACACCCCTCCTATAGCCCTGATCTGACACCCTCCGACTACCATCTTTTTGGATTTGTGAAGGATCAGCTGTGTGGACAACGTTTTGAGACAAGGGAGGCAATTCAGAAAGCAGTGTGTCAGTGTATTCTGATGGCTGGAATGGAATTTTACAGAAGGGGAATTTTCAAACTCCCAGAACGGTGGGAGAAATGGGTACAAAGAAGTGGTGATTATGTGGAAAAATAAGGAAAGGTCTGTAGATTGAGATGGTGTATTTGGTTTGTCAATAATAAAGTATGTTACTTTACAAAAATTTGTTGCTCATGACTTTCAGTACGACCCTCGTAATTGTCTTCCCACCTCACCCTAATACCATATGGCACACAAAGGTGAAACAGAATATTTAAATAGAATAAATACAGTAAAACTTGGTTATAGCAACATCGGTTTCTGCGACACCTTGTCTATTGCGTCAAATATTCAATGGTACGAACTAATTCCTCATAAAGCAACTGTTTTTATACCTTGCTTAGTACGACATGCACAAATGCATCAACCTCGTATGTAACGTCATTTTCATTCCTGAATTTCTCTGATATGGACATTGAACGTAATTTAGAAAGTGTGTATTGGGCAAGTAACAGGAAACAGATGAATATAACTGATTACTGTACTCGTATCTAGGTACAGTAAGGCACAACAGTTGATGTAATCTACTGTAATTTGGTGAGTAGGCCTACCTTTAATATACAGTATTAGTGCGGTGTGTATTGTCAGTGAAAAGCGCTGTAATATGTCTTTGATATTACACATTTGGGCAATTCCACGTTAATGTTACGTTAGTCTGTACTTAACTACGTATTTCACTAAAAAATGCAACATTTTAACTTGGTTTTTGGTAGATTTTTACGTGACTAACATAAGGCTACTGTGGAAGTGCCCATTTCGGTTACAACGACATTCGTTTATAACGCCACTATTTTTAGGTCCCTTTGATGACGTTATAACCAAGTTCTACTGTATATGTTTTATAACAAAACTATATACAACTTGTGCATACCTCCTGCCTGAAATAATTGTGGAGTGAATAATACCAAAGTAAGTTTGTGCTGTAATTTCTATGGTTAACATTAGTGTACAACTTCTCCTGAAATACAGTATGAATGTCATAACATTGGAGACAGCCCCATTTCTGATAACATTGGAGACAGCCCCATTTCTGGGGAGTTTAATTCCATATTATATCAACAATAGCAGAGTGGTGATTGCAGATTTGTAAGGTGGGAAGAACATAATAAGCATTCTTTCTAGTATCTTGAAATTTTGTAAAGGATTTGTTTTTATGAGAAAAGGTAAATCTGTCCCTGTAGCAGGCCATGAATGCTCATAGATGGCGGTAAGGTTACGCACTGGCCACTCTTTTACCACCCGGGAAAATTGCTGGTACTCATTTCTATTAGAGACTGAGTCAATCCCAGGGCCATAGTGCAACTGGAAGAATTAGGTCAATTAAAAAATCCAGTGACCTCATCAGGATTTCATCCCACGACCATCCAGCTTGTGGCATAGTGCCTCGACCAACTACATAACTAAGTGTGTATATTTGAAGATTTGGGGGGGGGAATAGAAAACAGCAACATAGTAACCAAGTTTTTCTCAAATTGTTATACCTGATGAATAGGGCCCAGATTTCTATGATGTCATATTTTTTCCTAGGGTTTATTCCTATTTTTAAATGTAATTATGCAAGTTTCCAGTCATTCTTATTGAAATTATGTCGTTTTTATTGTGCATATAAATGCATATTTTAGAGTTTTATTGGTTTTACAGCATATTT